TTCAGTACTCACATCTACACAACCTGAGCACAATGTTATGCCCTTTGACTCTACATAACAGGAACTAGGTTTTATTATTTTGGGCTACCAGTCTCTTAAATAGAGGTGCGTGACTGCCAGACTCCAGTGTGATTTTTTTCTCTCCCACTCAGAATTGCATACAGAGTATTGATTTTTTTTAAAAACGTTAATGCCAAAGCATACTTTGAGAGGCAAGCCAACATTTAATCAATGCATTGGGTTTTAAGTATGCTTCACTGAGTTTCCCCAACAAAGGTTTGAGAGTACCAGCAGTGTTCTAAACAAGCTTGATGTGGGCTTACAAACAGTAGATTTCGGAAGAAAAGATCATGCTTGTTTCATATTATCATTATTGCTAGTTTTTACTAGTTTCCAGCTGCAGAATTGGAAATTTCTTACAAGAATAAAAAAAAGGCCTAAAGGACTGCATTAGTATGCTTGCTCCTGTTCCGTTGCTAGTCTGTTAAAATATAAATGAACGAGCTGTAGCAAATTCACTTCAGTGTAACTAATGGGAAAAAAAACATTAAAAAACAGAAACAAGAACAGGCACAGAATACAACAGTTTTGCTCAAGGGTTTCCCTTTGTTAACTGGGAATCACTTTATCATAAAATACAAAAACTATTGCCCCCTTTTGTGCCGGGTGAACAATACAGCTTCCTTATATTGAACCCATCCGAGGACCGAACCAGAATTTATGCCAGAAACGGAAAAAAAAATCCCAGTATTGAGGGATTTTTACGTAACCACATGTAGAACACAGGATGGTGGGACACAGATTTCATTCCCTCATTCTGCTCGAGCTCCTGGTCTCAACCAAGTCGTTGTGAGCCAAGTGGTAACAAGAATCTAAATGCCTCCCCGTGTGGAGAGGTAAATATTATATCAATATCCTTGCATTTGATACAACGCCTGTCACACTGGGAAAACATCTCAAAGTGCTTCACAGGATTTACTCTAAAATGCAGTGGCTGTGTATTCTGTAAGCAAATGTTCGTTTGTTTTTAAGATCTCTTTGCCCACAAAACAGTCACACCGCTTTAGAGAATATCCTGTGAAGGGAGTCAGGAGGTGAAAGGCGCCATATCAGATGTAAGGATTATTATTATTATTATTATTATTACAGTAAAGTATTTGTTTTGCTAATTGTATTTAAAAATGTAGCTCATGAGAAATATTAAGAAACAAAGTTGACCCACTAGATACAGATGGCAATTGGAATCCAACCAAAAAAAAGCATTTCAAATGTCAGACATGGCTCTTCGCTGACTTGGACCTTCCTCCTGAGGGTGAATTTTATTGGTCTCTGGTGGCTGTTTGGGTTGCAATGGAACTAATCACTTTGACCTGGAGGTAAACATACATGGTAACTTTTTTGATGTCCAAAGAGCTCTTTATTTATACACCATTGTACACTGTGCATGACCCCACAAGGGAAAGAACCACAGCATGATATAACAACAACAACAAAACTAACGTATAGTGTTTAGCTTTTTCTTACTTTGGGACCAGCCTAATGGACCTTAATGATCTTTTCCAAGGTGCTCTGGGACACTACCTGCTAGAAGGGTGCTGTATAAATCCCTAGCTGTTGTTGTTTTGCAATTCTGTCTGTTGCTGTATAATGTGATGGTTATCATGAGGTGAGGAGCACAACCCTGGATGTACCCCTGAATGTTGGAATTGCACAGAGGAGAGGCCAGTGTTGATTTTAACAGGTCTTAACATCTCCTCCTGGCTGGACTATGCCTAGTCAAAAGATTAATTCCTACTAGTTTCCTATATGCAAAAATGTTTTTGTTTCCTGTTCTATCTCATTCCATTTAAAGCCACAGGAAGGGTAGGAGACTGCATCATACAGAAATAGAGTGGGACAGAATGTGTAGCCTCTGGAACAAAACATATTTTTATGGGAAGGGACAGGACAATACAAATGACATTGGAAGGTCACAGGAAGAAGACCTTCTGTGAGTTTATCTTAATGCGCTCTCTGTGTTCCCCAAGTTCAAACACATACCTTCGTGTCTGTTTAATTCAACCATTGCATTTGGCCATTGCAGCCGTTAAGGGGAGGAGCGGGGGGGAGAAAAACATTGGTTTGACCTCCCACTTCGCTTAGTTTCCCATCTCTGCTGGATTGCCACAGAGAAGGACAAAGCAATGAGGGCTTAGAGGGATGATGGCTGATACCTGAGAGCATCTCGACCAATGCATGGCCTGGGGAGAAGAAAGGGGGGAAATGTATCTCAACACTTCTACTACATCCCAAAACATTGCTCACTAATGCCAAATTTAATTCAACCTGCCTATCGTACTTTATCTACAAAATTCCAGAGTTCAAAATGCACCTCCTCCCCACCCCCCCGGTCAATGTATTTTAATTTTTTCTCCCCTTGGCTATTCCAAGAATATCCGTTTTGCACTGTGACAACTTTCGAGTTGCTCCGAAATTGAAAACCTCATCAATTATTTGCAGTTGTACCTTGGCTACAGTTCACCATTTGTTCTAAACATCTTCAGTTTGCAAACAATGCAAAATATACACCTCTGGGTGGCTTGAGGGAGTCTGCAGTGCACCATAGTAACATTCTAGGCATTTACAAAATGAGTTATATAAGGATTTTTTTATTTTTGCATGGACTTGTTGGGCTTGTTTATCAAAAAATTATAAGGTGCGTGACTAGAATTAGATGATTTTCGTCCATTGGAGTAGCATTTCAGTCGAGGATAGTGCTCTGGAACCAGGGAGTAGGACTAAATCTGCAAATAGTCTGCACCGTCCAAACTCTGACCTCATTCCCCAATTCCATTAGGGTCAGTCCTGTTCCTACTTCTGAAGTGGATACCGATATAATGATGTAAAATGTGCAAGCAGAAGCAGTAAAAGGCTTTGACAAACCGGGGTTACAAGTTCACCTGACGCGGAAACTAAACCCATCTGGTCCACGTTCTTGTAGGAATTGGCAAATTCCTGGTTCCAAGATTCAATCCACTTCTGGGACTCAATTTACCACGACAGGAATGGGAAGCAGGATTCAATCCTGTCTCAACATGGCTTATTTTTATTTTTTCTGTTGTATAAGATCATGGAAATACTGAATATACGGGATAGTGCATAGGCTGGGGTATGCACTTTTGAGAGGTCGAAAGAATATAATTGGCTTGAACCATGAACAGAGGGCAGAACGGAGGGGTATTTCTCAGATTGTGCCCTAAGTCTTGCAGTCAAGTGATCCTGAAGATATTGCCTTGTCGAAATGCTGTTCTGTTGTTTTTTGTAAACAGAAAATGCTTGGAACTTAGACAAAAAGAACACCACAGAACACTTTTATTGAACATTAGATAAAGATCTCTATTTAGCCAGTAACATTCCTTCATTTGTGGTGCTTAGGGGAAGCTCAGGAAAGGATCAAGTATACTCATTGGATTCTCCTCCTAATTATAGGCCTTTTTATGCCTTAGGATAGCAGCGCCATGCTGTATATTATTCCTCAAGTGCCAGAGGCCACAAACCTGATCAATTCAATGAATAGCTCTTAACCCTGGCAACACTTTTAATATTACCTTCAGCTCTTCGTTATTTAAAGTCGAGCTGAGGAAGTGAACTTATTTACATTTCTTTGGTGAAGATTGTTGGTCGTGTTGTAAGGAAAGTTCTGCTGGTGTGCCAGTGCAAACAGTGATGCAAAAGGTACTGCTTTGGTTTAATTCTGTCTTCAAGATATAGCAGTGTCTGTGTAGCTATTTTTTTTAAAAAAACTCCTTCCCCCCAACTCCCCCGAAAAAAATTGTGCACAGCAGTGTCCCACAAACAGAGATGTCGTGGAGGACCAATTTTATCTGGCGGTTTATTAGCCAGGATAAACCGCCTTCTCTTTTCAAATAGCAACATGGGGCCTTTAACATGTACCTGAAAAGCATGAGGGGCCCTGGGTCTTTAACGTAGATTGAGGGCACATTGACAGTGGGCTCATTTAGTTGATATAACCTCATAGTTACTCAATACAGTAAGTACAGTACAATACAGTACAGCGCCTTGGGACATCCTCCCGACGTGAAAGGCGCAATACAAATGTAATCTTCTTGTTGTTGCCGTAAGTCTGAGAGATTTCAAATCTATCAGAGTGATTTTTTTTATTGTAGTTGGGAAACTACCATGCTGTATTGTAGAGGGGCAAGCCCATGAGTTTACATCCATGATCCTCACACGTACAGTTCCCAGCTCCCTTGTGCCATTGTGGAGGTGCTGGAGAAGAGGTGAAATCCTTACCCAGCAGGGAAGAAGGAAAATCAAAGATTGAGTCACTTTGGGTCACACCCATACAATTCGTAGCATTTGGCTGAGAAGAGCATTAGCCTTGGGACCAGGTCATCTGCCAGGCCTCTAAGCTGGGAAATGGTGTGTGACACGTGGGACTTCAATGCGTGTATGTTGTTGTAAATGTATAATGACTTTAATTGCCACATACTGTGTTGCTAAGTGCAAAGTTTCCTTGCACCTCTGCGAGCAGAGCATTGTAAAATGACTAGGCCTGTGCATTTGATTAAGGTAACTAAATGCTTTTGTTAAATGTAGAGCTGTAACTTTGTCTGGTTATTCTGTAACATTAGGGAAAGAGTTATCCAGTAATCTTTATCAAACAAGGGAGAACGGCTAAAGAGCATTCTATTGTGAGGTGAACGCAGAATGAATCTAATATAATGGCATTCCATTATAACATGCCTTTTTTGGTTTAATTACACCTCCCAGTGTATAAATGTGTATATATGACATATCTGTATGTAATAAAACTGTTGTTTTATTATATACACATATCCCCAGAAAGGAATTTTAAAAAATGTAGCATCGCGATACCCATTGATATGATGTACCGTTTTGAATTTTTTTAAAAAAAACAACTCCTAACATTATTCTTTTTTCTTTCTCCCGCCCCCACCCCCACCCCACAACCCCCTCTTTTGCAAACCCTTAAACAGAGATTGCATTTGCCTCCAGATTTGTCAGATACAGTGAGCCGATCAAGCAAACAGGATCTGGCAGAATCAGCCAAACTGCTGAGCTCAGGATGTGGTGGTGGAGCCAGAGGCAAGACGCACCTGGATTTTTAGTGACTCTTATTTAACCACTTCACTCCACATTCTCATCATGTCGAAAGTATGATTACAAATTGTTTTTGTATATATTAGTAATAAAGATTGTTTCCTGTCAACCTGACTTTTGTTTGTGAGTCATCCAACAAATCAGAACCAAATCAGGTTATTCTGCAGTATTTTGCATTTTTGTTTTGGGTTATTCTTTGATTGATCACTAGGCTTGAATCCATTGAGAATGAGCTGATTACAACATGTCGTGATGTGCTAATTTCAGGTTAAGAGACTTCTGTCTATGAAACAAGGAATAAAATTCAGGCCCTTAGAATATATTTATTTATGGCCAGAGCATTGGCAATAATAACTAGATGGCTTTTACTTTTTACTTCATTACTGAAACCATTACTTCTCTCTCTCTGAAAAATTTGGAGAAATAAGGATGTCATTAAAATTTAAGGCCAATTGTTTTAGAGATAACCAAAAATATTTTCAGTATTACTGCAGAAAAGATTGAATGTGCGACATTGCAGCCCAGTGATCTTGCCATGTAACCACAATACATTTAAAGCAACTCGTTGAATCCAAAAGATAATGTAAATTTACATGATTGCCTTTTTTTAAGAACTGTAATGATAATGCATATACTGTATATAAAAAGAAGGTAAATATTGTGGTGTCACTAATGAATAGGCATAAGGTAGACACCCTTACTGGAGGTCTGTATGAAACATGAAGACATATGACAGAAGATGAAATGAAGACTGACAATTGCACTGGTCTCAGAGCAGCAGAACTGGACACAGATGAAAGATGGATGGCAAGGTAGTGTAATATATACTCAAACCAACATAGTAATATCACATGGATTAGCAAAGCGGAGTTCAGGTAAAGCTTGAATGCCATTCATTGAGACACTTCAATACACAAGATAGATGTAAGCATTTGTCAGCGTCGAGACAGTATTACATATATTTTGTGACATGTTAACCCACTGCCCTTGATTGGCACTTTTAGCTTAATGGATATTCATGATGCCAAGCATTACCTTTGGTAGAAATCAACAGGACTAAAATCATTATCTCTCCCAACTGCAGGGTTGAGAATTTTGGTTGAAATTAATAATAATCCTTGCATTTGATACAGCGCCTTATCACGTCTTCTAGATATCTCAAAGCACTTGACAGGATACATGTAAAGTGAATCGACTGTATATTTTATGGGCGAAACGTTGAAATTGAAAATGTTATTTCTTTCCTCGGAATATGGTTGCCCATAAAGCTCTTTATTTACAATAGATATAATAGATGACTGACTCTGGCCTGAAATTGTTAGTATATAAAAAGTTGAAGCCAATTAATTGTTTGCTGTAGTACCAATTTCAAAAGTTGCAATTACTCTTTTGTATTGCTGGTCTTCACTATCATTGTACATGGTGTGAAATGGTCATGGTTCATAGGTGAGGCTATCATAATCTAATTCATTGAGCGGCTTGGAGTAGTCGCAAACAGCCCTGAATGTTATGTGCTTCAACAATCAGTCAGCCTTCATGTAAACCTACAACAGCTTGGTTTGATAGTTTCACCGCTGTGTCACTGAACAAATGCATTAATACGACTTTGTAAGCTGCCAATTTTTTTCATACAAAATAAAGTAATTATTTTAATCAATCTTCGTTTTCCAGCTTATTTCAGAGTAAATCTGCCATTCTGCAGTAAGAGGAAAATATGAATGTTATACGAGGAAAATATGAATGTTATACCAATATCCTTGACTATCTTCTGATTTCTGTTATTAGCCTTATTCTAGAATATGATGGACATCTTTGCCATTCAAAATCCTCTTTGGATTAGGTATAAACGTCATTTATGCTAGCAACCCAAGTCAAAACTGTCCATCATTGCCTCTCATTGCTACTTACATGTGTCTTAACAGTGAAACACCACTTTATCTGTTGCAAACTTTGTGCAGTAACTGTTGACAGCATTAATAGTAATCTCTTTATTGCAACCTCGTAATAAAAATTGTTTTAAAAATAAAGTACACATACAGATTTAACAGTGACGAGAACAAAAAATAGGTTATCTCTCATGAATGCAAAATGAGAACATGAAAATCTTAAATCAAGAGCACAGGCAAAGGTGGTGAAAATGTTGATGCACAAAATAAGCTCCTGTTTTGGAAAGGGAATTAAGACATACCTCCAGGATTGAAGCTGTAATTTTATTGGGATAGTGCAGATTTATGTTTAGGTCACTCCACTTAACGTAACTTGATGTTGTCTTGTCCTGAGAGGCTGAGCTGTTAAATCTAACAAGCAATGTTAAATCTAAGGCAATGAATTAAGCCATCAGTGCTAAGGACACCTCTTTCCAAAATAAAATGAAACATTCTCCTCCTGTTCTGCCTTTTTCAGCATCTAATCCTTGCATTTGATATAGCGCCTTATCGAAACACGGCAGCCAATTGTGCATAGCAGTGTCCCTCAAACAAACATCATGGATTGAGTGACCAAATTTAATTTGATATGTTATTCTTTAAAAGTAAATTTCTTGGTGGTACAGTATAGCGTGACTGGCGTACTGTTTTAAAATAACTAAGCAATAAGCTAAGTTAAAAAAAAATGGAAACAGGAAGCTTTGTTTAAACATTAAAACATGTTTTATTCATGCATGGTTATGATGTGGAACCCAAAAAATCAGAGTAAAAGTGCAGCAATTTGGCATCACGAGGACTTAGCTAGGTCCTGCCCCTGACATATTCAGTAATATTCTGTCACTTACATCATCATTCCTACCCTATTTAGCTTTCCTGATAGTCGCGTATAATGTGGATAATAAGGTTACTATAAAAGGTTGTAAAGTGCTGCATTATTTGTCATCCTTTTAAGTAGACATGGCATTAATGTTCCAATTATATTATGCAACACAAAGGCTATTTCAGAAACGTTAGCCGAAAAATAGTCAACACTTGAAGTGTCTTTTTATTGAGAAAGAGATAAATGTATGTTGTCATATGACCTTTTGTAAAGAAAATGTAGCGCAGCAAAAGACCTGCTATGGCAAACTTAACCACCTGTCTTAGGGAAATAGTAAAATTTATTGCTATACTCTGTGTGTATTTAATACATTTTACACAGCTTCCTAGCAACCAACCAGCTAACACCACCTTAGCTAACGCACACTATGTTTTGTTGTGTAACGTCTCTTTCTAAATGTACCTCACAGATGCACTTAGCATGCAAGCAGGCAAATAGGCAGCTTTGGGGGTGAGATTGAAAACGTTCAAAACATTCTCCATTCAATGACGCAACCGTTTCTTTTGTTGGCTCTGTTGAGAGCCAGTGAGTTCTTCAGCCGAGATATTTTTATCTCCTGGTTGCTTCTTCTAAATCCATCTTCTGTGTCAAATTTAAGAATCGTGCAGTTAAAATTCAAGATGAGAAGATGGTGTGGTGTTACAACAGCACAAGCTTATTGTTTGTATGTGTGTGTGTGTGTGCATGTGTTGGCATGGGGTTCAGATCCAAGGAAAAACCTAACAGCCGAGCCTGTCTACTATAAGGGTGATAGGTTTTGTCAGTTCTTAGTGAGCTATAGCTGGAGGAGGAACAATTCCTTCTCTCATCCCCACCCCCTCCTCAACCACCGGAAAAAGGTTCAGAATCCTTCCTTACCCATGTTTCTTTTCTCTTTGTGTGATTACTCCACTGACCTTCAATGGCATCAGTGTTGGGGTAGAAATTTTACCAATTTGACCCACCTCCAGTTTGTACATTTGGAATAGGGAGACGAGAAACTACAACAAAAACTGCAGAGTCCATTGCTATTTCTAGATGAATGTATATTTTATCCAAACATAAATTTCTAATGAACTAAACTGGTCAGCCGGGTGTCTGGAAACTTTCTAACTTCCTTTCCATTGCTTTTTCTCTCATTCTGGGTTAAAGTGTACGTGTACAGTCCTGAATTGGAGTATAATATTTCCTAGTTATTTGTGTTTTTAATCCTTGGTTCATTCTTCATGTGGGCCCAATGCTGTGAATCCATTTCTTAATCACCTTTAGAGATAATATTACATGTTAGAAGCTTAATGTTTCATTTCTTAACAGCTTGGCTTAAACAAAGAAAGTTTTGTGTTTTTCTGAAGCATCGCATTTCTTGGCAAAGTATTTACAGAGAGATTCTCCTATTAATTTACTTGGGTATTGTAAACACACCACATCCTTAAAGCTTTTTAAGGAAGAACGACAGAATGATAGGATGAACTGCAGTATTGTGTAATATTAAATTACATAATGTGTTGGAATATCAAGGAAATCTTAGATGAAAGGAGCAGAAATGTGTGGCACAAATCTGTTCTTCATCTTCTAACTTGTATTGCACTTTAAGAACCCTGGAACCAGAATCATTAGACTTGCGAAATTTGAATTAATTTGCAATTATTACTTTGCCGCGCTCTCCTGTAGGTGCTGTCTTTTACTGCACTGGAGGCTAAAATTCCTCAAACCCTGGCAGCCCCCTGGTATCTTGCCCAAGTGATCATTCTTCATCTGTGAACCTGGAAAGTGTTGGCAGTCTGTATGATCATGGGGGGCTCCACAGCTGAGCTCAATCCCAATGTCCACACGTGCGCACTTTCCGGCAGGGAGTCAGTCGCTCGATAGCAATAAGGAAGCAGGTTTGCTGTCAGGATTTTTTTCCCCAGCACTATCCCAGTGTGTCCAGACCAATTCTAGCACCCTGACTAGTGCCCCAGCTGAGATCAGCATAGATCAGGGGATCAAACCTGGGGTGTTCCGGGTCCATGTGCGTTAGCACCTCACAGGTGGTGCGTTCACCAACCAAGCCATTGGGAAGCTCATGTTATTACTGCTCTAAGTGGAGTGATAGTACTTTACAGTAAACTAATGGTGTGGTCTCACCCATCTGTACATGTAATATATCCTCGCTGAATGTTCCACAGGGGTATTGCTGATTATATTCCTCTAATAACTTGGCAGTAACATGCTCCTTTCGCATTCAAAATCAGTTTCCCAAATACAAGCAATATGATAAGCAGCAAGCTTTTTGGCTCAGGTTCTTCATATCCAAACCAGTTAGAATATCCTCAATGTACACTTCGCTCATGGGAATACTCCAGCATTGTTTTGAGAAAATAACAGTAATTATAGTTATACACGTATTTATATTTAGAAATAGATGTAAATATGTAGCACTCTTTGATCACTGGTAAATTGTATCTAGTTCCCACTAAAATTGAATTCCTTTGACATGGAATATTGGCTCCTTTGATTCCATTTAGACATTTTTGCAAAAGAAAATTTTCATCTGGTTGTAAGAACCAAAATCATATGTTCTAGTAATCCATTGCTCTTGTAGGGGCTGTGACTACCCACAACGGCTTTCTCTGAGTGACGGAGTTTCCTACAGATTCTAAGAACATTGTGTTTCATAACATTGTAACCGGCAAAGCTGAATAATAATAATAATAATAATATTGAAATCGTGCATATTGTTGCAGGTTTTTTTAAACAAACTGTGCTTGTACTCAGTGTTGGCCTGGGTTTTAAATTACCGGAAAGTTATATTTTCTACAAAAGCTGAATTTTGTTGATATATACACAGAACAGTTTTATTTTATAAATCATTTATATCTAAAGATGCTATCAAAGTCCAAGATAATACATGTGTGTCACAAGATGGTAATACAGGACTGAAAATAAGTCTGTTGTCCATTGTTTGCCTTTTAGTATTGTATCTAATATTTAGATGCTATGAGATTGTAGTACCCATTGGATGTAATTGAAGAAACATTTCTTTTCGTAAAGCCGTTTCACACGACTGTATGTTGAAATGCTTTTTAGGTCGTACAGTTAAGTAAATATACTCCATGACTCGATTGTAAAATAAATAATGTTTGAAGCCAATTGGTTCTGTGAATATAATACTGAATCGCATTCTCATTTGGAGAGAAGTTTGGGAAATTACAGGACACTCTCTGTCTTGGTTAAAACTTGACACTGAATATGTAAAACATGAGTTTAAGGAAAATTCACTTTTTGAAACTTCGTATAATTTATAAAAGTAAAATACAAACCAAGAGGTACTTTTATATTTCCAAACTGTCACATGATACATAAGCTATACATGTACAGACCAACACTTTTACAGCTTAGAGCACACACCTTTTCGCAACCCTTAAGGATATTAGCTCCTAATGTATTTTCATGACAATTTCAAACCTCAATAATCCTCGTATGTCTTCTCTGTGCAACACTTATCCTCTTAAGAAGATGTACAATAATAACATTACCTTCTGAACCTCTAGGTTGGAAAAGGTGAGAGTAAACAAGTATTTAAAAATTGGTAGCAATATCCAATATTTTTATGCAACAAACAAGAATTATGACTTTTTACTTTCTTCAATGTCTCCAACCTTAAATATATCTGGGTAGGTGGCTCCTTTTACTCCTTCTAGACACTCTTACACGAGTATTAAAGAGACCTTGAGGGATTCAGTCTCAGAACAATTTCAAAATATTATGTTTTTAAGTGAAATTAAACCTCATTTAAAACAAAACTCCCTGATTGTCAAAGCTCTTATATACACTCTGAAACCATCCTCCAAACTGTAATTCAGCAGAGAGAGAAAAAAATATTTACTCACAAGGAAAGTTTCCCTCATTTTATGCTACATTTTGTAATTTCACAAAATCAAACATTTAAATGGTTTGGCATTTGGCATAAACTCTTGTTTTTTTAAAAAAACTATAATGAAAATTGGATCATGCAATCTAATTTTCTGCAGAGTGCAATTTCTGACGTCAGGCAAGTCATCTATTATTTAATGCCGAAACGTACATTTGTTGTTGGCTGTCTTTGTTTTGTTTGCTTGTGGTGCAGTGAACACTTTCAAATTAATTATTGTTGTAAGATTGCTGAGATGTTGCATGTGGCCAGTAATTAGCATTTCTGAACCTGCTGCATTTAAGTAAATGGACCATACATTGAACAGCAGGAACAGCAACACACTTAAAAACGAATGCGTTAGAAACCTGTCTCAATCCAATCACTTGAAAAACATCACCGAGTGTGCCTGTCGATTCATATAAGAAAGATTTCTTTAGGAAACAGTTGTGTATTTTAAACTCAAAAAGCTAGCTAATGAAATTGTTCTAATGCACTTTGCTCTTCATCATGTTTAATTTGACATTAAATGTTGTTTAAATGCTACTTAAAAAGGCTACTGTTTTAAATTGCAAAAACCGAATTTAATGACAATTACATTTAATAATTGAAGAAAACTTAATTCCAAAGCTTTCTTTTTTTTTGACGTTTCGGTTTTAATTGCGTATGGAAGGGCATGAAAAAAAGAGTATTTATCAAAATGTATTAGGAATAATATGACAAGCGTTCATCTAATAGGAACTGAGTTAAGTATCTTATTGTGGAATTTGTTACAGTGCCTTTGGTTTGAAACTGGCCTAAATAGCTTGTTTTCTCATCATTTTGTTTCAGTTCCAAAGTTGTGAGATTTACTGTCGTTGGTCAAACAGCAAAACGTTTTAAGAAAAGTCATTTTAGTGTTTAGTCAGGTTTTATTTGCAGAGAGAAAAAAAAATGCAACTCTCCTTAGATGTATATTTGTACAATATTTTCGTTGGGGAGGGAAAAAAAAATCCTCTCCGCAACAAGTTAAAGAAAAATCTTTCCAACTGTGCAACATCCCTCAGTTTCCGTATAGGTTGAGGCGAGGGGGGAATTATTTCTTCATCACCTTACTTATGGTTTAGTTTTGAAATCTACAGGTCTTATTTGTGGTTTATGCTGATTCCAATTATACACACATTGGAAATGTCCTGAATGTACCAATACCATAACACTACTGGAGACCTCTCAGTGGGGGTTGATGTCCAGTTTAAACCAAGCAACCAAATTTTTATTCATTTTTGGTGGAGCTGTTGGTGGGAATGAGGTTGTTTAAGGGGGTGGGTGGGTGGAACCCAGACAGGATTGAAGGGGTGTATAATACATCAATTATAGAGGGCAAATTTAGAGTCATTTATGGACCTCATCTAAACAGCGACGTTATATAACTGTCTCTTGCTGGCAATCTACCAGATGTAATTTTTTTTAAAAAAACAAATACAGGCAGAGTGTGGTCTCATTAAGATCAAAGTCACGGGAGTAAGAGTTCAAGGAGGAGCTGAAATTCCATCGATTGAAGATCAATTCATTTTATTTTATCAATTGAATAAATTGACTTCATTTTAAGTCAAGAGCAGAATAACGCTCTCATCTGATTCAACTGGATGTTATCACAGGAAATCATTTCACAACTGAGAAACAAACGAACGTTGTTCTTGATACAGAGCATTAAAAAAAATCCTAATATATATTTGATGTTTTGCACAAGCCAACACTGTAGATGGATTCCGACAGAAAACAGTTGTACAAAACTGGAAACCAGTTTAAAAGAATTAAGGTGTCTTTAATCCTAACTCCTCTGACAGGACACAAATTTTTAGATTAAGAAGAAAAATAACTTCATAATCTATTTTTGCTCTTACACTGTTGCATGCTCAATAGTAAATGACACCAAAAAAAAAGCAGAACATTTTGCTAACACCTTTGTTTAAAACATTGTAGTTACTTAGTATTTGGATGAGCAAATACTGTACGTATATGCTGCTGGAAGGATTTAGCGCTTGTCTGAATTATTTATAATTTAATGTTTTATTTAATAGCCTTTCAATTGTGCTTCTTTAATGTATTTATTTTATTACAAACTGAGTTTAATTATAGAACTATTTAACATCAGCTATGAATGATTTTTTTTTAACTGGACCATTTGAGTTGTTTGTACACTTGGTATTGCTAAATTAATGGATCAATTTTGCATTGTTTTATATTAGTTTTGGTTGAGCTTTGAACCTAGAACTGCTCTTTGTATTTAAAGAACTGGTGGAACTATAGCTGAACTGTTGTAATCTTTTTGGGAAGTTGGATGGGTAGGCTAGAAGGAGCAGTTCCCGAAACTATTAAAATATTACTATGCAATACTGTACTTCAAATTCAACTGGACCATTTTGAAACGTTACTATTAATCAGTTTTCCTTAAAATAGTAGATTATTTAGTGAAAGTACCCACAGTAAATTTTAACTACAAGATTACAAGGGAATCTTCCAAAGTTCTTTTGTTTGCTCTTCCTTTTTCATTATATGAGTCTTATTGTGTTTCTAACCAGGAAGGGTCTCACAGCAACAGCAGCAAAGGATTGCCACTGATACTAAAGGTTTAAGCTATTGTATAAAGAACGACATTATTCACCGTTGATAATTTAGGGGTGTTCACCCTTCAATCGATATTTTAATACTTGTACAAAATATGTACATTTTTACAAGTTGTTTGTTTCCGCTAGTCGCTGTATCTTGTATAAACAACAAAAAATACAGTGTTGAAGCCAAAACTTAAAAATCGCTTACTGCATCTATAACGTGAATATCACCAGTTACATTTGCAACTCACCCATCCAAGAATGATTAAAAATCTAATGTTGACATGTAAGATCATTTTAGGAATTCCATAAGTTCATTAATATAGCATTTATTGAATTTTCCATTTTTAAAAAAAAAGATTTTAAGCTCGTTAAAACAAGTAAGGTCCAAAGTAAGCGAATAGTTTACCATAAATCCAAAGACTATTCCCTCTGAATTTATCGACAAAATTTAACACAATACCGTGTTTAAAAAAAAGAGACAGGTAGTAACTGAAAAGTATGCTTTGGTATATCTTGGATATCATTCTTGACTGAAACTTTGATATGCAATCGAACATAGCTCTGCAACACTTAATGTTTAAAACTCTGATAGCCAGTTTAATTTTGTATGAAACATTGTTTTACTTGCACAAAAAAGTCTGAACGTGACAGCTACCTATATACAACTACCAGGACAATTAGCTTGTACGGACTTAACAAAGAAAAGTATAAAGATGTTGGCTACAATGATGCATGAGTGAATATAAATCATCTCTAGAGTATTCAGGTGAATATAAATGAAATTAACTTTATTATAGAAATCATTCTGGGAGATTTCTAGGGAAGACAAATACTTACATTTCGACATAACAAATTGGATTATATCGAAGACACAATCTACCTTTATCTACCAAATTGTCCACCTCCTTAAAGTTCTGTTACCTTTTGCACATAAACTTATCTGTCAATGACCTTTGGCGAATCCAAACAGATACAGCTCGCTTACACACAACTAAGTTGTTTCTTCCCCAATATTGACCAATATTTAGTGTAATGCAATGGTACAATTGGTAACATCAGAGTTCATAATCTAGAAATGTATTGGTAGAAGTACTCGATATAAGTCTAATTCGTGGCAACTTTGTTGACCATGACGTCTCGTAACCTCTTCATGACCAACACGTGTACCAAACATCCATCGAGTCTAGTTCTTGTTCTTGTTTCAAACATACAAATGTCCATTTACAAATAATACACCAAGTGAATAATTCCGAAACTGAAACGAAAAAAGAAAGTTTGTTCCGTCGACGTTATACGCCTGGCACTACAGAAGTCCATGAGTCTTCTCACGTGAGTGTATAGGACGCACTCCCAGAACAAAGATACCTTCAGAGTCCGCTCTCAGAAACAAATACTGCTGCACATCTGACTCTCCACAGTCCTTCACTTACTGCAATCGGGGCCAGTACTGCGACATGTCCGGATCACTTCCTGGCACTTGAACAGGTACAGACACTCCAGGGGAAATGAGTCCTGGGAAATCAAATCAATCATTCAATTGGAGATTCGAATCAACCTTAATATGTTGCATTTATTCTGCATCCCTAGCAGGCAATAATCCAATAACAAGGATGTTGTATAACACGATAATTATGAGTACGGCAAAACAGAATAAGAAGAAAAATAGCCATATTTATTTTTTTACTGGCATCCTATATTCCCTCAAGAATTCCCAAAACATAACTTGTTTGTTAGATATGATTGGGTGCTTTCATTCTCCAAGGGATTTTGTTATCCTTGATAATGTTTACTACACTTGTGCTATATTTCTGGTGCTATTTTAAGCGATCAACTCATAATTAGCTCAAGCTAAATTAGCATTATTTATATTTGGCTTTGTTTTTTTAAAAAATTTGAAATAAGGGGAAGGTAAAGGTGAATTGAAGTGTTGAGAAAAGAAGGTAAGAAAGATATTTGGTCTGACCAAGTGATGATTGGATCGAGAAAAATATAATTCTGAGATAATAAGATCATAGAACCATAGAATCTTACAGCAAGGAAGGAGTCCCTTCGGCTCATCATGAATGTGCCGGTTCTTTGAAAGATCTACCAAGTAGTCCCACTCCCCCATTCTTGCCCCATAGACCTGCACATTTTTCCTGATTAAGTCCCTATCCAACTCCCTTTTAAAAGCTGCTATCGAGTCGGCTTCCACCAGCCTTCAGGCAGTGAATTCCAGACCCTAGGATTTTGCAAAGTTCGAGAGTCTCTTATGTACAATCTTACCTGTGGATGTGGCCCCCGGTGTGCCCATGGATTGGGGGTTCATGTGTGACTGCATGTGAGGCGGTGTGTACGTATCATAACTGCGGCCATTCACCGACGGGCTGGTGGGCAGCATACAGGAGTAGGACGACGTCTGGTTGGGCACTGGTGGCTTTTGGGGAGAACAAATAGAAACTGTCAAGCGATGTCTATACAGGCACCTCACTGCAGGCGTCACCTTCAGTATTTGTTGAATTCTGTTTGGGTTTTTGTTTTTTTTAACGTTCCACACTTACTTGCATAGGCAGGTTATTTGCCATGGTAAAGGTGGGCATCGGTGGCAAAGCACTGTAAGTGTTTGTAAGTGATGTGTCTGCCCGCCCCAGCATTGCGCCTGATGTAAAAGAGGATACTGGAAAGAAGCATGTAGAAGAAAAAACAAATGTACGTTAGTCTCAGTTTGAAGGTGAGCAATTATTCCATCTCCTAAAGGATGAATCATGCAGCCAGACATACACCAGTGCCAGGATTAGTCAATAGTCTTTTTTCCCCTTTATTTTAGATTTGTTGGATCATATGTTAACCATATTGGGCTTCTCTCCTCTCAATGTCTCCCCTTACACCACTCTTCTTAAGATAGTGATTAATCCATCCACAAGCCTGGGCAACCATCCCGTACCTTGCTTGTGGCCTTATTGTAGCCAGTGTGGGTATGCTATTCGCTATTCAATCTGAGGGTCACCACAGCTGAGCCCCCAACCTGCCTTAACACCTGCCTTTGATGTCCATGGACGTGCACCTCCTACAGGGATAGCAACTGGGCCTGGGGATTGTCTCACTCGCTTGCTCAGGACTGCTGGGGCCAAATCTGTACCTCCACCACAGGGTCAAATCAGCTAACTCAGAGAAGATCAAAGCTCCAAATTGGCACCTTTCTGGTCTCTTTGGCTCATTGCCACACTGTGCCACACCAATTTAGGTAGTTGTATGTATATATATTACTGTTATGAAATATTTAATTTAAGCGCAGCTGAGGCATTTGAACATTTGTGGGTATTAAAATGGCTTTAAGTGTTAATGCAATTAATTATAATATATTAAAAAGGCATGACAATATTATTCAGCGTTCCCAAAATGTCCTTCCTCTTCACTTTACACTGTTTGATTATAAGTTGAATTTACATAACGTGGATTCACACTGTGTGCCAGACACAACCAAAGCCAATTAACTGGGGGTTTCGGTAGAAATGAAATTGTCTTATTTATCAGATAGTTCCCTGTTAAGCAAAAACCATCAGTCGCTATTTAAATGTACTGGGAAAATTCCAACTATAAAGGAATGTCCCCTATTAACCCTGACCCAATTAAGACTTCAATTGTATGTATAACATATTCCCTTTCTCATGTTGCCCTCGGGGGTCTGTGGACAAATGGGCCGCAAACGCAAATAACATCATAACATATTCTAGTATTTTAATCACTGCACTTTTCAGTACATTGGTTAATTCTTAGAAAATCACAATGAAAGGATATGAATCCTCGTAATTATCTTTATGAGTTTGTATGTCATCCTAGCTGTGGTAAATATTTAAACTTCATAATAAATGGGTAGCCTTTTCCCCGGTTAAGAATGAAGAAATTTCTGCCACAATACAACACAACATACGCTGAAACATGCCTCAAGCACATTGATGTCGGGCCTTCTGACCCTTTTAACTCACTCTTTCCTTCAATTACTTTCACTGTTTTTGTTGTTGTTGAGTGATTTATTCGTGTTCATTCAAAAATGAGTAGTGGGGCAAGGTTTGAGTGCATTTTAAACTCTACTTGAATACTCAGGGAGACTTGCTTCATCATAATAATAATAAAAATAATAATCCTTACATTTAACATAGCACCTTTCATGTCGGGTGGATGTCTCAAAGTGCTTCAGAGGATATACTGTAAAGCGAACTGACTGTATTTTGTGGGCCAATGCAATATTCCACAAACCTCCTTAATAATAATAATAATAATTCTTGCACTTGATATAGCGCCTCATCAAGTGGTCGAGACGTCTCAAAGTGCTTCATGGAATATACTCTAAAGTAAATTGATTGCATATTTTTGGAGACGAAACGAATGACCAACGAAGCCATGAAGTGAATGAGCTTTTTTTTTGAGGAGACGATTGTGGTTCTATATTCTCACCAGGTGTTGTAGATTGTGCGATGGGCTGATAAACACTGGTACTGAAGCTGCTGCTGATGGGGATGTGACTGGGTGTGTTGCTCGCCTGGCGTCTCTGATTCCTCAGCTTCTCCTCCCGCCTCCACTTCGCTCGTCTGTTGGAGAACCACACCTAGAACAGAGAGGTGGGGGCGGGCGGGGAGAGATCAAACATCAAAAGCCTCTGCACAATAATTTCAACAACAAAACAAAAATAAATAATAATCCTTGCATTTGATATGGGGCCTTATCACGTTGTTGTGACATCTCAAAGCGTTTCACAGAATCTATTGTAAAGTGGAGTGACTGTGTATTTCATGGGCGAAATGTGGCAGCCAATTGCGCACAGCAGTGTCCCGCAAACAGTCATGAATTGGGTGACATTTTTTTTTGGGGGGGAGGGATTATTACCCCCAAAAATCGATTCACCAATCGACTAACAACCGGGTTCCTACTTACTGCTAGGTAAAGAGAAACATACATAAAGAAAGTTAAACCACAGCAATTGTGCAGCAAAGATCTTCACTGCTTGGAAAGCAGATCTGAAATACAACAAGCTTCTTACTTGCCTAATTGAGCCTTATTTTTTGGTTGGATTTTACCTTTGCAAATAGGGATCCCAGTTTAACTGCACAGAAATGGTTCTTAAATGCCCAGCTGTAATCTAGGTCAAGTCACGATAATATTTTTCGAGTATCGATAGGAGATGAACTTTCTTAACATGGGAGACCGACAGTCACTAAACGGTGGGGCTCTGGGCTCCATTCATTCACTCACCTGTATTCTAGCTTCAGGTAGATCTATTTTGGCCGCTAATCGTTCTCGGGCGAACACATCAGGGTAATGAGTTCTTTCAAATTCTGGCAGAAGAAAGTTGGTGTTTACGATTTTTTTTCCCAATACAAGAAAGAGAATGGAAAAAGAAAGCACATCACATTCTTCTCGCCATCCACCTCCCTCCCTCCCTCCCTCTTTCTCTCTCTCTCTCCCTGCTGTCACCTCTCCCAATCCATTACCTTTCTCCAGGGCTTCAATCTGCTCCTGGGTGAAAGATGTCCTGTTTCTCTGCAGTTTCCTCTTCAGCTGCAGTCTCATCTGTGCCTCGTCTGAATCATCACTGTTTGAGTTGATGGAATTGGTATTTTCAGCACTTCCTTCCTGTTGTTGGCAGCCATCTGGAACAATAATACAGAGGAAACAACAACAAATTAAATCTACCTCTGCTTCCTACAAGACACAACTGGACAACCAAAGGGACAACATCCCTTCAATGGAATACCTGAACAAATTATTTTCTAATTGATTTAAGGTCAACAGTAAAACCCATACCATCGTTAATTTCCACCACCCGCTTGTTTTAGGGTTGCTTATTGGCCACATCTAAATATATTATAAGATCAAGGGATTTGAGTTTGTATGAATATTTTAACCTGTTTTTTAACCTGTTTAAATAAAATCTCTTGACATTGCATTCCCAAATCTAATCAGGGGCTGGCAAGGGATTGCTTTAACTACAAGTAATCGACCTAAAACAGTACACTAGATAGTGAGAAGGGGGAAACTGAGACTTGGGAGTAAACCAGCGTATGTTGTGATGAAATGAAAGTGGAATCCTGCAGCTCAGGGGTTAGAGCACTCGCCTTGCAAGCGATAGACATGGGTTCAATTCCCGGCAGGGCGAAATGTTGGGCAAGTTTCCTTACTCCACACGCTTCTGTTTACCTAGCAGTAAATATTTGTTAGTTGATTGGCGATCGCTTTTGCAGGGTAATAATTCCTTCAAAAAAAAATAATAAATTGGTCACTTCAACCCACGACTGTTTGTGGGACGCTGGTGTGCGCTATTAGCTGTCGCGTTTTGCCCACAAAATACAGTCAATTCACTTTACAGTATGTTTGGTGAAGCACTTTGAGACATCCCAAAGACGTAATAAGGCGCTATATCAAATGCAAGGATTATTATATACCAAATATTTCCTTCTCGTGTTATTTGCTAACTTTATAGAGTGTGCATCCCAGAACCTCCAAATTTGTTTGAATTCTTGGGTAATATTATTGAGCATTTTCACTAAAAATCCATAAACTGGCATGTTGCTTGGGTACAACTATATTATCAGTGATAAGCGCCGATCATTTCTGCAAAACTTGATTACACATTTAAAAAAAACTGCTCATTTCTTGAGATATACGAATATTTTTCAAAGGGACCCAATTTGTAACAGGTTTTCTCAAACAAAGATTCTCCTGCATTAAGCAAAACCAATTTAGAAAATTCATATTTGGACGTAAAATGGAGGATTACATTTTCCATATGGAATAAGTAACAATAATTTTCTGGGACTTTGAAATTAGCTACCTACAAGAAAATAGCTAAACAAGTGTGTGTCAGTGTATTTGTCAGTCAATCTATTATAATAATAATCCTTCGATCTTCGAGATGTCTCAAAGCGCTTGAATTATTAGACTAATGCAAAAATAAAAATAACCAAAGTACCCATTAAACAGTTTAGCAAAATTACTGGTTGCACAAGTTTTGTTATGGATTTTGAGATGATAATCTCCCCATGATATTATGGTTGATTGGATCCTGTTAAAGTTTCTATTCAAGTGCAACCCTAATAAAATTTAAAACAATTCCAGCCAAAATCAGTCTACTGCCATCACTTTGCTTTCAGCTTTATCCAGATTGCTCTTCATTAATAAAGTGCCTCATCTTTTACAGGGTGATCAAAAGCTCGTGATAACTACTGTACTATCCAAGAAAAAAAAAGCACGTTTTAAGGGTTACTGGACATGGCAATGGCATCACGACTTTTTGGTCGCCCTGTATTTTCTAACCGCCTTAAAAAAAATGCCTCCAATTCAACTTTGAGAATATTCAGTGACTGGGGCAAGGTTGGGAATTAGTTCCCTTAAAATAAAATAAAGATGGGGGGGGGGGGGGGGTTTGTCCATGGTTCTGACCAGCATATGGGGCGTTTAGATGTCTATAATGGTGGCCCACCAACACTTTGAATAGCTTTTCAGGCGCACAATGCCAGCGCCGGACGGAAACTATTAAAGTCCTGGGCCAGAAGGGTTGGCAAACTTTCGTGGGCAGAATTTTGAGAACACAATCGCTCGTTATCGCTGGAAGCCAAACAAAAGGATTCTCTTGAGGCGCGCAGTGCTCCACATTGTAGCACAAAGATCACAGTCAACAGACTTTTCAGTGGAGTTTGTTAACCTTTGTGCGATGCTATCATTAATCACTGTCCTGTGAGTTGGGTTGTTGAACGCCATTTAGGCTTATGCATTCTACAGGAGGAGAATGGGGGCCAAAGGCATTGGAGAGGGGCTGTGAATGGAACTCTATTGCACTGACTTGTTTACTCAGTGAGAAAAAGAAAAAAAAGCTACTTAGCTAAGATTAGAAAGAAAAATCTTCAAACGTATCGGAGTCGCACTGTCGACGCCTTCGAATTTGGTGCCTTTTTGCAAACATTTGCTGCACATAGTGTTATTCTGGCGTCGCTACAACACTCCTGTGCAATGCAGCGCTGACCGTTATTCTGGTAGTCTATTCCTTTAGCCACTGGGAGATATAAAACCTTTCAGATATTTCGTTTGACATTTCATAGAATTCGGGTTCAAATAGTTTTCCTCTTTTGATAGTTTAGCTGAAATTGAAACTTCTGTGACCGACTCCCCTGCATGACATGCAATCCAATTCAATACTTTAAACTGATTTATTTATGTATTTATGTATTTATTTGTGTATTTATTTATTTATTTTCTTCTCTCGTTTTTTTAAAAAAACACACACACTGCTCTTGAACGAATTTCTAACATTTATTTTTCAAACGTAACCGGTTATATATTTATCGTTGTTAAATTTAAATTGTAAGAGTGGTGGTGCGTTTTAATGTTTTAATGGCTACATTTTCCCACCCCTTATATATCTGTTTGGAGAGAGAATCCATTTGGCTTTTATTGTAAGTAGATATTATCAACGTGTCCAAATCATATCTTTCTTTATACATAATGTGGTATAACGTAAGAGCCATTAAAACGTGTTGTTACCATTCAAACTAAATAGCCAAACGATGTGCATTGTGAAATATTGTGGTATTTGAATATATTCAATGAACCGTATTAAAGATTAATTGATTTCCTGTGGTTTTAATATAAATGTGTTTCATTTCTGCAAAAAAAAGTTTTGTAAAGCCAAAAAAAAAAGGATTTTTTAAAAAAAACCTTAAGTAAGTCGTTGTACAGCTCTATCCAAAATAAAAGCTCTCTCTTTCGGTCACTTTATGCCCACATTTGAATACAGGTGAACGGAAGGTTCAACAAAGTTGTCAAGAGCTTGAAATATAAACCTATTATTCCTAATTGTATGTGATAGAAAGGGAGTACAGGAATTTAAAAAAAAATCACCAAGCGACAGACAATTAAGTTATCTTCCTTTTATGTCTTTTTTTTTGGGGGGGGACGGTTTGAAAACCAACTCCCCAAAGAAGCTGTTGAATGCACGTCCCTAGTCCTGTTTTCTCCGGCGAGGTAATCCGTAAAAAGAAGGATAAATGTGTGTCCTATTATCCCACAAGCCAGACCAACTGACGCTGGGTTAGGATTTGTTTTCTACAATAAAAGCGCTGGGAAATAAAATCATTCCTTTAGTTTCTCAGTGTCTCAATCAATCACGCGGAAAACAAGCAAAGGAGATAGCGGACCAATTGCGGCACTTTTCAGCCGTCCACAGCTCAGATCAGAAACATTCTGCCTCTCTTTTACTGTGAGCCCTGTGAAAGGGAAAGTGCCTAAATCCTATAGAAGGCTTTAGCCATATAAGAGAGAGAGAGAGAGAAAGATAAGAAAAAAAAAGACCGTCACAGCGATCCTTAAAACCCTAATTCGCTGGAGAATGTCTCAACTGATTGAGGGGCTGGTTGGATAGAGATGTCTCTTTTAGACCATTGACAGGCTTGATATTGCTATTATTTTTTCCACTGTTGGGTGAAGTGAATCGGCTTGAAACCATATTCCCCTTTGAGACCGACCCCTGCCTTGTGCCTGGCGCAAACGGACCTTTAAAAATCCACCGCCAACGTCCTCACACGAGGAAAAATGCATTAAGGAACAGCCTACACATTCTGTTCGATTAGTTCGGTGCATATGCTCTCTGTCAGCTGATGGTCGAAGATTAATAGGAGGTTAATCACAGTTGGATCGAAAGGATCCATTCATNAAAAAAAACTCGGGGCGTTTGTTTTTGGAAACAAAAACATGACTTTCTCGAAATCTTCTGTCTCTAGTGTGTCTTTTTNAAAAAAAACACACACGAGGGAAAGCGCACATTTTATAGGTACTTTCTCTCCTGTTCGCTCTGTTGATAAAGAAATGCGTTTCACTGTCGTTGTTTCGTTTCCATTGCGATTCTTTCGAGAAACACTAACTTCATTTCAAAGTTCAATTTTTTAAAACCGACATTTAATGACCATCAAAAAAAAGGTTTAAGTCTCTTTTCTGCGTTCGGGAGGGGTGGGGGGGGGGGGGGGGGGGCTGTGAATCACTCTGGAATAAGCATTTCAGCAAACTTCGTTTCTTTTTTTAAAAAAAAATGTAAGTCTATTGCAAATTTCATTATTAACCTCCAAATCCATCCGAAGTCGACTATCCTAAGGTCACAGTGTGTGTGTGGGTGTGTGTGTACAGCGTTAAATGAACGAAAGTCTTGCTTTGGTGGAGTGAAACTGTATAGATTGACTTACTATTTTATTCACTTCTTCGAATCGTTACTTTAACCGTGGGTTAAGGCACACATTAAGAACCTCCCTGGCTGTTTAGGGTGGGAGTAGGGGTGGGGGGGGGGTAATCCTTGGTATTTCTAGTGCTGATGTCTCTATTTAGCGCAGGTAATTGATGCTGCAAGCGTGTGTCATTGCACATTTGCTTCTCACTGCTGTTACAATCTGAGAAGAGATAATGACCGAATTTGATAATGAGATTAAGAATGAGAACATTAAAAAAAAAGTGTGACTTTCTTTTAAGATTCCAATAAATCCGTCTAAATTATTTTACTTGGAATTACCCAAGATAAACACGGTGGGAAAAGGATTGCTGGCTTGTGACACCCTCCACACCTCACACCTCTACCATTAACTGTTGCAATAAGTCGTTCTGTTTTCATGATCAGATTTGGTAATGAGGCAGAGGCAGCCAAATTGAAGGAAATATGTGCCATTTTTTTGTCTGGAGGACTGGAATGTGACACTACATACATTATTCTGAGATTGCCATTTTATCTCGGGTTATTAATGAACGTGGGATGTATGTATATATATTTAAAATGGTGTTCTGTGGATCTGCTATCCACCCCACCACCACCCCACCACCACCCCACTCCATCATCCCCACCCACATGCCCATCCCAAGCTATTTAAAAGTCACCAATTGCCAGTTTTTTTTTAAAAAATATACATATTAATAATAATATTGCTGTGCGCAATTGGCTGCCGCGTTTCGCTCACAAAACACACAGTCACTCCACTTCACGGTGTGTTCCGTGAAGCGCTTTGAGACGTCTCGACGACGTGATAAAGCGCTACATCAAATACAAGCATTATTATTATTATTATTATTATTATTATTTAGTATTATAGTTTGCTCGTTAAAGCCGGCAAGAAGATCACACTGTAATGTGAGGAACGAACGACTCTGGGTCCGAACCTGGAGCAGACAGTAACGGACAGGGTTGGATGTCGCCTGCGGGTCGCAAAGCCCTAACTAACCGCGCGGAGCGAGTGTCAATGAAATGCCACCTCCATCGTTAGTTATCGTTACCATGTCATTGCAGTAAACAACTTTAGATTCCCCCTTGACATCCCGAGGGATTCCAATCAGTACTATTCACCTAAAACGCCCAGACAGCAGTCTATACCGCCTTATAGCTGCAGATCTCCCACCCCCCACCCTCCCCCCCTCCCCCCAAAAAAATATGCGTTCCCCAAAGCACAATATGTTACGAATCAAATGGTTCCTTAATACGGAATCGTCCACATTTGTGTTAATGTTATCGAATGAGTTCAATGTGACTGGTTTCTTGATCAGCCAGAACTCGGGGGCACTGGTTATACAGTATGTCTGTCATATGATTTCTTGCTCTGTTGTTTGTGACACAATGTCAATCACATTGTCCAACTATCTGCTCGAATGACAAGCGACCCAGTGGCCTCCTTTACACTCGTGTTTAATGTCCAGCACTGAACTACAGGATGATATTCAGAAGAGGGGCCACACGCCTTGACTTTTTAAGATTAGAAGATGGTTTGATCCGTTTAACCAATCCACTCGTGGCTTATTTATAATGCGTTTATCCGAATGCACAGACCGATTCAAAACCCGGGGAGAAACAATTTTACGTCGAGTTTCTCCCACAAAGTGCACAGTCAATCAATCCACTGTACAATATATTCTGCTGCGAAGCGTTTTGAGACGTCTCAACGACCCGATAAGGCGCGATATCAAATGCAAGGATTATTATTATTATTATTATTATTATTATAACTACTCCTACTCCCAACCAATAACTATATCGTTTCATTGTTGTTTCAGCACCATAAGCGAGGGATCCCTTTATTCCCGTGAGTGACGAGTTATAAAAGTGGCACAAACGAGTTTGGAGCTGGACTTTTTTTTTAAAAAAAAGCGCCCCGGTGTTTGCAATCCATCTGTTGTCAGTATTGGCTGGTACATAGCTTCATTAAGAGTGCTATAACAAGCTGGGGATATTTTACCGAGAGCAAAGGCGCTGCTGTGTATCTTTCTCGTTGCCCTTCTTATATTGTTTGCCTCTCAGAAAGCTGACATGTCTAATTGGCAAGTGGTGCGATATGGTGTCCAGAGGTCTCATGTGTAACATTTCTACAGCTGTCTTCTAGAACGAGACTCTTATTCATGTTGCTTAATGAGAAACAAAACGCTCTCTAATGAGCAATTACATAGCGACAGGATTGTTCCCATAACAGATTCTTGCGTGTGACAGAAACATCCTTTGTACCAATATATTCGTGCACACTGTTGCTGATTTTGTGGACAAAAAAGCAAGGTTGTGTGTGTGTGTGTGTGTGTATGGGACAGGGCTGGACTGACCACAGACACGCACACACTCACTAATGACACACAGGACACATAGAAAAATTATTTACTCTTTCAGGAGTCGTCCCCCCCTCCCCCCTCTCCTCTTAACCTGAAACATCACATCCAATTATACTGCAAATTATCTCGCCGTTGTGGCCATCATCAATAAATATCCACCAGCCTTAGAGTCTCTCGACTGACACTGTGTTAATTGAAGAATATTATTTGTAACATAACATAAGGTTCACTCGTTTCAAACAGCATTAATAAGAATCCGCTCTCTAAGTTTCTAACCTGCCAATGCTCCCCCCTCCCACCCTAAAAATACTGTCATAAGATTTACTTGAATTAATATGATAATGAGACGCACTGGCTGGCGTTTTACTAAAGTTAAAACGACATCAAAGTGGTTCTGTTTGGAAGATAATATGTCCAGGAAAGGCGTCGTTGGGATTCTGGAATCTGTGCAGGTAACAATAATAATCCTTGCATTTTTTTTTGAATCCTTGCATTTGAAAAGATCATTGTCCATTAAAGACCAACTCTCTTTTTGACGAAATCCGATGTGAAAACTCCATATTTACATATATCCTCCCTGTCTCTCCCCTCACCTTCCCGACGTTCAGCTAAACCCCAGGGCTAACCATCACAGGGAGATGGTGGGATACTAATTGTCCCTCAGTGAAGGAAACAACTGTACAGTTTCCACAATTAAATGTCGGTCCTTACACACCTCCCCAGGTGCTGTGGGTTTGTGTGGCATCATTTCCCGACGCTCGCGTTTCGAATTCGCTATTCTACCAGAGTTCAGAGTAAAAGGGCGCATCATGTGCCGTCTGGCGGACTTTCTGACCCGTTTAGGGTAGGATTTTGATTTTAGCTTATTTCCCCCATATTGAAAATATAAAGTTTGGATAGATATCTTAATGTCTAAAATGTACTTTAAAAATCATGTAATATATATCAAATGCAAAGATTATTATTATTTCTATCTATCTATCTATCTATCTATCTATCTATCTATCTATCTAGGTATCCATCTATCTATCTAGGTATCACAAAAGGTGAATGAACGGTCCATCAGTCAGTTAGAGGGCAGTATCTCTTACCTTGGTTAGCCTGGCCTGGGATGGAGCCGCCAGGGTACCAACCTGGCCGGGTACCCCAAGCACCTGTCTGACCGTTCAGCATCCTCAGCTTGTCATACATCCCATCTGCTCCCATCTGTTGCTTTTCGCTAGCCAGGTTGCGAAGGACTCGATTAATCGATGACACCTGAAAGTCAATGAGAGACGATACTTTAGACACCTTGCCACGCTTAGTAATCCCCCATAACCAAAAAAAGTTGGAGGGTTTTAATTCAAACGACTCGATTAAATTGTTTGTAGAATTGAAAGATAAGCTAATTAAACATAGGTTCGCCTGATCAATTGATTGATATCTGGAATGTGATCTATATTACACACTGGATTGAGTTGAGCCTGTTTTGCTAAGTGAAGGACATACGCAAGGGTGGGTGGTGGGGGGGAGGGTGACAATCTGAACACTCTTTAATTCACCCTTACACCGCATAGAATAAACCGGACAAATCACATTCGTCCCAAAGATATGAATAGATGCACTGCTTCTGCTTGTGGCTGCATCAAATGAATGAATTTGAACAAAGAATTTCGCGCCCGACTATCAAACAGTTTGATCCAATTTATCCAGATTTTCAGGTCATCTGGTACCATATTTATTGCAGCCATTAAAACACGTTCATTCTAACATTTGTTGTTAGTAACTGAATCCGGATCATTGCTTTTCAAATACAGTATTGTAAACCGATATATCTGATCCTAACGTTTGCATTTCGCTGAATTTATTTATCGATTTATTTCTTTATTTATTTATTATTGCTTTTTGTTCTATCTCATTTTTCTTTTTTTAGAAGAATACTTTGACGTTCAGTGGGACTGCGAAGCGGATCAATAATCGGTTCCAAAGCGACTGTCTGACCGCCTCCTCCCTCGTCCCTTTATCAATTGACATCGCACATAATATCGTTCAGTGCAGACAGAGTCAGTAGCATATTTGGTGCTGATCAGCCTAACACGCGTGGCTGTTAAATGATGGCCATAAAGTTTGCCTGAGTAAGTAAGTCATTGAAAATGTTCTACTTACACTTGGTATATTGTCGTTGGTGCAGACTCCCTCGGAGAGCAATCTGTCTCGAATTTCCCAGGCGAAGATTGACGGACACTCGCGTTTGTACTGAGCAATTTTCGATACCACTTCGGGAGTCGCTACTCGGGGTTTACTGCCTCCGATTGCTCTGGGCCTGATAGAACCCGTTTCATAATACCTGCCCAGGATCTTGCTCACACACCCGTTGGACACCTGGATTAAAAAAAAAACAACGGACAATAAAACCGCGTCAAAATGATTCACAAGATTAAAATGGCTCTTAATTGTGATTATAGATAGATATCGATATATATAGTCAAACAATGTTGAGAGCTTACTTTTCGATTATCCACTACTTGGACTTTTGCATCAGCATGGGTCTACAATACAAAAATATACCTTAAATGGCATGGGAAACGTACCATATTTGCATTAATTTCAAGAATAATTTCTGGCGCGTGCCAAAGTTTTATTATTTATTTATTATTATTATTTTAAAAAAAAAGTTTCAAGCTTAAGATTTTTTTTGTTGTTGTTGACGTTGCATCAATGTGGGTCTACAATACAAAAATAAACCCTTTAATTGGCATGCGGAAAGCTTACCATTTCATTTCACGATCATTTCAAGATAATTTCTTGCTTTTTTTTTTGGTTCGCCAATTTTCGAAAGAAATTACTTTGAAGGTACGGATGCAATTTTTAGGAAGCATTTTTGGATTGTAGATAAACCCCCTTATTAAATAGAAACATGTTCAATGAAGCTGATTGCACAGACAATAGTAAACGCTTGTGGCATCATATTTCCATGCGTTCTATTCACAGTGACGGTACCGTAATATACATTTACTTTGAACAAAAAGAAACCTGATGTTACCTGAAGGATCCTTGAGATATCACACGGCCGGGCTCCACTGTGAGCGAGTTCCACTATTTTTTGCCGAGTTGAGTCAGGCAGGGGTCGACCGTTAACAAACACTCCGCCGAGTTGATTTACACCACTGTGACCTGGGGGGGGAGGGGGGAAATGCAACAGCAAAAACACACACTCAACTCAACCACCTATACTTAAAAGGTGCAATCAGGAAAAGAGCGATGCTTTGCAAGCTTCCGGCATGAAAATCCCTACTAAAAAAGATCCCACCCACCCAATGCAATCCAATCCAATGCAAAAAAAAAACTCAACTTAAGAGACCAAATCACACGTACATTGCACTGAGCCGAAAACTCCGTCAAATAAACAGAAAAAGCTTTCCATTTACGATCAACAAAAGCCTCAATGTGCACGCAGCGGTTCTGAAATTGAAAGAAATTCAGATCACACACGACGTGAATCTTACATTAAAAACTAAAAGCAAAAGCTTAACCAACAGAGAGGTTGACTTGGCTGAAAACGAACCCAAGGATGACAAATCCAGAAATGCAAACCAATTATTATTTCTCTCTCTCTCTCTCTCTCTTCATCTCTCTCCCTCTCTCTCTCTCTTAAATGTACAATTGCTATCTAACTGAATACAATACAGTGCAATACAATACAATGCTGTGCATGGCAAGGCTGCATGCATCAATTACGACAAACACCCAATGTACTAAAAAAAAACAATCTGTTCTTTGGCTTATTAAGAGCAAAAAAAAAAGGCATCAGTTGAAGGGCGTATTGAGACTCCGAACCTGAGGCTCAGGGTGCCTGTCGCCTTCTCCCTGGAGAAGCTGTGCTTCTAGCTAGACCTGTTCTCCTCTCCAAACAGCGCCTTGCTAAATTGGCTCCCAAAGCCTAGCCACTTAGCAATAAATAAGCCTCCAAATATAGAAGGGGGGAGAGAGAGAGTGAGAGAGAGAGAGAGAGAGGAAAAAAAAATGATGAGCTTTCCTGACATTTGTCTTGAAAATAAAGCTGGCTGCATGTCAAATTTTGAGCTTAATTTCTGGAAATAAGCGGAAGTCGCAGTGGATCGTGCACGGAAGGGTAATTGAAAAGATCAGTGAGAGCACTTGTGGCAGGCATGTCACTTTATGACAGTGTTCTACTTTGAAAATCGCATCGTCACGACAAATAGTAGCATGATAAAACGTCTCTTTCTGTCCGCATTTGTGTATCACTCATAGTCCTATCGCTCGCTCCACTCTCCGCTCATTACCCCCTTAAAAAAAGAAAGCTTCGTTTCCAAAGGTTGCCCCGGGGGCGAGGCTGGGGCACCACATTGGGGGGGAACGCGCGTCCTACTTAGTTCACAACTGTTCACAGATGCGAAGGTTCTAGCGATTTAGGATTATTTTTAATTAAAAATACTCTCTCTCTGTATATGTGTGTGTGTGTGAGTGTGAGCGTGTGTGCTGTGCGCAATTGGCTGCCGCGTTTCGCCCACACAATATACAGCCAATTCACTTTACAGTGTGTTCTGTGAAGCGCTTTGAGACGTCTCGGAGACGTGTTAATCAAATGCAAAGATCGTTATTATTATTGTTATATATTAGGTAGAGTGTCCAAGTGGCACTTTGCGATCTTTAAAAAAAAAGTTCTGTATCAAACCACAACTGCAAAATAACTTATTTCGAATCTGTCTTTTACCTGAAAATTCATTTTTTTAAATAAATATATTTATAAGGAATACATTAAACAACAGACGCATCGCCAGGCTTCTTAAGGTCACAGTTAATATAGTTCTCATACAAAACTTGAAAATATGGCGATTGTATGTGAAACAACAAGCAATTGACGACAATAAATTCACGCAACAAAATGCAAACAGCACAGAAACTTGGGAAATAGGGTCAACATTATGGATTTTTAAAATATACAATATAAAAAACACACAACTGACTAAAAGGGAAGCAGAAGCCTGTCTATGTGCGGTGGGGGGTGGGGGGGATTGGATTTCTTATTAATATAAATTGTGTATATTTGATCAATATATCTTGCATCGCCAATTCAGTCAATAGACTGAAAGTATACAGTGCATTAATTCACGTTGCAGTATATTCTGCGTTTGAAGTGCTTTGAGACGTCTCTAAGACGTGATAAGGCGCTAACTATATCAAATGCAAGGATTATTGTTATCATTATTAGCATCGCCTCACACATGCTAAGGCCTTATCTGACAACCGTCGCCCCTGTGAAAGTTTATTTCACGTTTTTTTTAAATAAAAAGAACAACATTCGAGGAAGGACGTTACCGTGAATGCAAACAGGACTTTTATTTATTTACATATATATATATATATATTTTAAAAAAGTGTACAGCTTAATCACTGTACGAATCCCCGTGGCGAGGGGGTGGCGGAGTTACCCAGTGGCAATGATTATGCGCCCTGCATTCTATTGCAAAGTCATCTAATACGAAAACATATGGTGGCAATTTGGACGCTATGCACCATATACACCCAGGAGTTATTAGCACAAAGCCTGAAGAGCCTGCCGCGACCTTTAAACAAACTGAAGGCTTCACCCGAATGATATCTCCTCAGCAATTCGCACAACAGTTTACTCCATCATACACGCGCTTCCCATTTTCCATTAATCCCATTAAGATTAAGCACAAGTATCAGAACTTTATTGACATCACTGGGATCTCTCTCCCCTCTCTCTCTCCTCTCTCTCTCTCTTCCTGCCAGGTTTATATAGCGGTGTATTGATTTGTCCATTTTTTTAAATGCTTTTTTTAATTTGCTTTTTTTTCCCCCAAGTATATATTTCCCGAAGAGGAAAATAAAGGTTTGATAAAAGAAGACGTGTGTATGTATGAATGTGTTTATATGTGTAAGTGTGTGTGTATGTGAGAAAGAGAGAGAGAGAGATCAAGTATGAGAGCGAGTAAGAGAGAGAGAGAGAGAGAGGGAGAGGGAATGGGATCTTAAAGGAAATGTCTCCAATTAAACATTTCATACAATTGATAAGATAAGCGTGATGGAAACTGAACAAAAAACGTCTACATTTCAAAAGAACAAGATTCCATGATACATCAGAGATTTGCTCTGCACAGCATGTTTAAAAATACATAAAAATAAAACAAGGGACGCCCCTGTCAAAGAGACAATTACGCTGTGTTAAAATGCATTTGAATTCAAGGTGTTAATAAACTCAAGTGTCATATTCTAGCGTCTTAGTCGTCAATTTATGGACACATTTTTACCTCTCGGCAAAGGATTAAGGAGCTAACTGACTCTGTGTTTGCAGGGTGCGGGTCTGCCTGGGAATGACAAGAAACGCATCATAGCATTTCTGCTGAAAAACTGCCGGATAAAGCGTTCTGCTTTAGGTGGGAGGGAGGGAGGGAGGGGGGCTTCTAAAAAGAACCTTCTTTAAAAAACTTGGGAAACCCAAATAAATGTTTATCCCTTAATGTCTGAAGAACGAGTAGCCCGTTCCTGACACCCGCAATGTTTCGAGTTTCTGGAGGGGTCACACACAAGTATACGAAGCATCACTTACTGTTCTGCATGTTGTGTTGAATTGTTATTCCGGAATCCCACGTGGCTCGTTTATAGCACTCTAATAGTAATAAAATATGCATTAATCGGGGGGGAGTATTAAACCACAAAGTTTGGAAACGCATCACTATTATTTTTTTACCTTTTTTTCAAAAGAATCTATTTCTTTCTCTCTTTACGGTGTGTAAAAATATTTATAAAACATACATCTATTTTATACAGTGGCTCGAATTAACTCAAGTGTACACATTTTAACAACTGGATTACTTTCTTGCATTATGAACTGTTCGGAATTTTCACACACTGTGTATATTATTTACATATATATATAAAAAAACTGCCGGAATAATTTAAAAACACACCAAAAATCGTATTGAAACTTGCCTGAAATCTGGATTGACTGTCCACATACAGATTTACGTCAGACATCTGTTTGTCACTGGTTAAAGTGCTTCCTCTGAAAACAAAGAGAAAAAAAGTTTATTAGCGCAGTTGGCAATGTATTATTCTTACTGTCGTTTCCCCCTCTAATGTCCTATATGTAAGAGAATACACATTGAACCTTCTGTAGCCGTCTTGTCTTGTTCACGCTATTTACCTTGGCTAAGAAACGCGTAAGCATAGCAATGGAGGCTAATTGTGCATTGATAGCCCTTTTGCACAATATTTTATGATCAGCTAGTTTAGGGGGAAAGCACAGAATACGGGATTCTATAATATTGGGCTACACTTTATGCAAAGGTTTCAAAAGGTGAACGTCAGTCCGCAAGTGACCTGGTCATTAGTCCGTGAGGTGGTGTTTTAAAGAAACTAGATTGCCTTTCAATGGCATTATTTTCCGAATCTTACCAGGTTTTAAAAAGAAGATAAGGGGAAAATACTAGTTGTATTCCCTCAAGAACAAAGGCGAAAGCATATTTTCCAATCAACGTAATTTAATACAAGGGGGAAGAGTGTGAAAAAATACTTCAACTCAGTAATTTAAATCACACAGCAATTTGTTTTGGACTATCCATCCATTGTTGTAAGGCCATGTTTACTGTAACTCAACTTATAGAATGAAATGTATTTTTTTTTCTACCCTGTTTTCTGTTGAGCAGCTGTGCAAATGGCAATGCCTCGCGTCCCCCCCCCCCCCCCCTCCCCCCACCTCCATCAAGAGTTGGACATTTTTGGTACTGTACTTGGAAATGTAGTTTTTGTGGAACTCAGTTACTCTTGATTAACTTTCTCCCTGGTCTTTAGATCTTCTTTTATGCTTAGGTACTCTGACACACGCTGTCTACCTCGCCTCACTGCCTAAAACGTAGTCACGGACGGGGGTCAGAATGCTTCGACAAAGCCTACAGAAAGTGAACAATGGCTTCTATTCTGCTTACAGCCCCAAACCCAGAGAGCAAGCTCTGGCTCCCCAAACAGCAGCACAGCGTCTAACTAAACGTAGCTCTCCTTCAACTAACTCGCATATAAAGAAAAGAGAAGCGAGACAGAGAGAGAAAGAGAGGGAGGGAACGAGAGAGAGAGAGAGAGAGAGAGAGAGAGGTGGGGGGTGGTGGGGTGGGGGGAGAGAAGGAGAGGGTAAAACTTTCTCTCTGGCAATCTCGAACATGGCCCAGTGAATGTGCGGAATGGTGCGTTTCTCTCTCTCTCTCTCTCTCTTTTTGGAAATAAAACAAATAATTTCTGTTATAAATATCTCGGGGGTAATTCTGTTGCTGGTACGGGTTGTTAAGCGTTGTAAAAAGATACAATGGCTCGGTAGGGTGCTCAATTGGAGAGAGACAATTGCAATAAAGAGCCTATTCAGAGGGTTTGGTAAAAGAGAGGGGGGCGCAATAAGCAAATGGTCGCAGGTTTCATTTTCTGTTTGCTCCCTTTTTCCCAAAATACTTATTCTGTTTCTTTTTTTTTCACAAGTAGAAGTATAATGCATATTGATTTTTTTGTCATGCTTAAATTCCAGAAGGCGCGCTCTCTCCTCTCCTCTCCGCCCCCCCCCCCCCCCCCCCCCCCCCCATTCATCACGCACGAATGGCATAATTTATGAGCCGAGCTTTGTCATCTACTTCTACGAAAAATAAACTTCAAACAAACACTTTCTCGCAGCATGCAGACTTCTCTGCGTAAATATTTACCAGAGTGAAGGGGTTACCTGATTATCAACAGAGCGAGCGAGCTTTATAAGCGAGATGCTGGTGAATTAGCTTCCACTACAACGCGCGCAAACACACACACACACACACAATTCCATAGCTCAAAGTCGTCCCTCAGCTAAATTTCCCAACCCCCCCCCACCCCCTTCCCCTCCCCCTCCAAATAATAACAACAACAACAATAAGACAAAATAAAAGACAGTGTGGGTGGAAAAAAAACAAACGGCCCGTTTATTTTTTCTACACACACACACACACACCCGCACAAGGGTTTCGCCTGACTTGCGAATCTTTCAAGCCTACGAAAAAATGCACCGTAATTGCAAAAGCGATCTCTCATGTCTAATCCGGCTGGAGGACTTCACACGCCGTTTCTACTGTCTTAGCAAATTTTTTTTTAAATGAACAAAAATATCACGAGTGTATTGGGGTACTCACTCGCCCGCGCGGTGGCCAGCTAACTATGTACTGCTGTCCAGCCCCAGTAATAAAGAGAAACCTCCCAAACAGGAGTTTAACCAGCAGCTGAGCCGCGCTGTCTCCCTCCCTCCCTCCCTCTCTCTCTCAGGCCTAGTGCAACCCGAATCGCGATTAGATCTGCCTTCCTTCTTAATATCAATTTAAATGTGCCCATATCCCGCCTTAGTTCTGATCTTATTGATCGATGCTCCCAATTCCGAGACAAACCGAAAAAGATCATTTTTTTTTTGGAACTGCGGCTTCCGCGTCTCTCTGCACCACAAGTCCAGATTCGATCCACAAAAAGGTGGAGGTTTCTGCACACACACAAAGCGCCCTCCGCGTTCAACCCTTTATTTTGCTCTTCATCCCCCTGTACATGATCGTGTATCTAACCATTTGATTTTCTAACAGAAATGCAGCAAATTAGAGAGGAACTTTTGAAAGCATTGGGGGGGAAAAATGTTATTGAACTTTAGATTTATTCACCTGCAACTTGCTATTTTTCCCATTCCTATTCTAGACTCGTTTCAACTAAAGCCACATAACAATTTTACATCACCGATAGTAATATTTATGCCCGTCATATCTGGACGCCTGCATTGATTTTACGACTAAAAAAAAATTAAGACTCACTCGCTATCTGTGCGCAAACAGTTCGAGGTAAACGCTTGTACATTTTAAACAACACAGAGGCCACTTGACTTGAGTAGTTTGAACCTGAAAAAAATAATGTGTCTCAACTTTTTGCCCCCGGTGTAAATTATAAATGTATTATTTATGCGGTGGACGGTCGTCATTTGTCGAACGTTTTCGGAACAAGTGCGAATGCGTTATTAACATCTACAGTAAAATACACTTCTCTCTGTGCTCACAAAGCGGTGTCTATTCACAATTCACGCGACGCACCTTTCTTGGAAGAAAAGGTTATTTATTCATGTGGATTTTAATATATATATATACATATATATATACATACAGCCAAGTGGTTTTAAAGGGAAAGATAGCGCAAGATAAACCCGAAGCCAAAGCGGAAATAAAAGATGGAATTATGGAGTCGGAAAGGAACCCAAAAGGAGATGTGATCCAATAATAAACATCTCGCCCTGTATTATTTTTTTTTGGGGTGGGGGGGGGGGGGGGGTGAATGTTTTTTTTTTCTTTGACCAAGGTCGTGTTGCTCGGGCGCTCAGAGCAAAGTATATACCGAAGCGCTTCGATTTCTGAAATCAACTCCGCTAACATTCAGCCAGAGCTGAGCTGAGCTGAGCTGAGCTGAGCTGAGCTGAGCTGAGGCACACAGTTGCGATGAGTTGCGACTACTTTATGGATACGGGCAGGAATGAGTGAATCGGCTCGCTGCTTGATTCAAACTGACACACTGCATTATCGGGTCATTGCATCTTCTTTTACACTGCAAGCTTTGGCCTAAAGTGATTTGCTTTACTCTTTCTCGTCATTAATAAACATCAACTGCTTATGAACATGCAGGATAAAAATACGTCGTGAGAGCGTTAGCAGAAGAAACCCTACAATTCAACATTTTGGAACAGGTTTCGCTCTGCACTTCTAGAATCGTTATCTATCATACATAAATGTGTATATAAATATGTACATAAATATATGTAATATTTCTGGCTAAGGTTTTCATAACTCCCTGGTTTACCGTCCAGCCACATTGTATTGATGTTAAAATAAACACATGCATTGTTGCGGGGGTTTAAGAAAAATAATCTTATGTCCACTCAGCGGATAGAAAGACTTGATGAATGAAAAGCAATGTATATTTTTAAAAATCACAAGTTAAAAGAAGCGATTGATTCAACACTTTGCAGCAAACGTGTTCAGAATTTGGCCATTTTTGGACCATTGGTTCCCAAAGATCCCTCCAATACACCATAATGTTCTTCTTCAAGCTTAGACATTTTCTGACACGTTTCAGAATCACACTGTTGAAAACCTAATTAACGTGTAAAAGAATGTTAAATTAAACCAGTTAGGTCATAAATCATAGATAGTGAGAGTCAAAATAAAAACCAAGAAACTTTCCCTTGCGATTAAGAGACGTGGAATAAAATGTCCCCCAAAAAATGCAATAAATAAAATGTTTTGAGGACCAAATAATCTCACCTTTATTAGGCATCCTGTGTTGCTGTCACGCGTCCGGCCAATAGTTAAGGTGGGGAAATGATGCCACTTTTTTTTTAGACTTGCCAGTGAATATACTTTCTCCACCCAGAGATAGGAGCGCAAATTTCTGCGAAGGAGACAGATTGACAATGAAATCTTGTTGTCACTGAGCAAGGAGGGAGTTATGAGACATACAGAGAGAGGGAGAGACACAGAGAGAGGGGGAGCGAGAGAGAGAGGGGGGGGGGGGGGGGGGGGAGGGAGAAACAGAGAGAGAGAGAGAGAGAGAGTGAAAGCACACACCTAGCTGATTGG